CAATTAATATTTACCCGATTGATCGATTTCACCATTACTGTGAGTATTGTTGAACGCCATTTTCGTTGAATTGCGACTTACTCTTCGACTTGTCTCGAATATGCACAAAGTACGATACGCAAAATAGTAAATCGCGGTAAACGGAAATTGTTCTCAATTTATTTTAAGCCACAGTCGGTTTCAATGATTGCAATATAAACTTTGAATTGTTTGCGTTAGATTACGATGTAATAAAGCAAAATAAATTCACACGAAAATTTGTTTTCAAATATTTTCCAGTCCCTTACGACGCCAAGGAACAAGTGCTAAAATGAGTGAAGCCGATGTCACTTTGTATTGCATGAATGTTATTAGAAAGACACTAGACCTGTCATTCCGATTGTTCAAAATGACATTCGCATACTAATGAAGCATTATTTGGCGCGCATATTGAAAAATAAGACAGCGCGCGCGAACTGACAGCATTGAGTCATTGGATGATAATTTGGTTAAATAAATGAAAATAAATAAGGTATGAAAACCAATTGGTTTTTCCATTCCTATCCTATTCTCAAATGTATGCATTCACAATCACAATTTGTACCGAGCATAAATTCCAAAGATCATTGGTTTGTGTGTCAATGTAAACTTATCCAAACGTGATATGATTAAGCGACACACACACACATACAACGACATTGTGTCAAGAAACCAATATTCTCTCTTTTCGCTTGCATATTTTCATTCTTTAGTCAGCTGTCCACATATACGGTCGTTTGTACCCAGTAAGAATATAGAACTACGCAACAAATAACAGTTGAAACAGTGAATTGAATGTAAAAAAAGTTTTAAAAAAATTGTCCAGAAAAAGTGGTTGTTGTTTGCATTGTGATACCGAAAAAATTGTTGGCGAACAGTGCACAATGGGCATCAGAGGATTGATGGGATTTATCACGAAGAACAATTCAAACATTGTCCAAGAAATTGATATTCGCAATGAAATTGCGCAATGGCGAAGGTGAGTAATGAAGCGGCTTTAAGTCAAATTCAAACCAATAAATTGATGTGATAAAATAAACCGAATTGCAGTGAACATGGCAAGGAACCTACGATCGTAATCGACGTCAGATATTTGAACACAGTTGTACGAGAGCTCGATGAAGAAAGTTTAATTTTGGGCGGGCGATTTCAAAAATACAATGAAATCGTTGAATATTTCCTGGGCGAGCTGAAGAAATGCGGCTTAAATTTGAAATTTTTCGCAAGATTAGCTGAAGGTCGTTTCAAGCATATGGAGCATTTTGATTCAAACATCAATGCATTCGATTGCATGAAGCGATACGGGAATTTACGCAATTTCTCAAACACCAATCGAAGCGTTCGACCCAATGAAAGATTTTGGTACAATTTGTTGCGTTTATGTGCCAAATACGGTCAAGTGGAAGCTCACTTCTGGCGTCATTGGTGGCATGTTAAGGATTACATCAAAGATCATCAACGCGATGTGTTGGCCATTATGACATCGGAAACAAGGTTTTTGACGCTTGACTTGGACTTTGAATATTGGAGCCTCACAAATGTTCAGCTTTCCACTCTGAAAATCATGAAATTTTGTCGCAAAACATTGTATGATGTGCTTGGTTTGAGCCCGATCCAAATGCAATTGCTATCAACACTGTCGAATCTTAAAAATATCGACACACCGGTGCAACACTTTTTAAACAACCTAGAAGGTGGTGCCCATTCAATTTTAAGATTGTCTACGTACATCAAGAAGCAAGAAATTAAGACAGGTGGCTTCGATTTGAAGAAGATCGCTTCTGATATCTACGGGGACAGTCTAACTACGGAATTACTTAAGAATATTGAACAAAACTTCAAAACTAATTCCGACTACAATGACTTAGTTGCAGAGGTGCAACACAAATACGAACGGCATGCCGTAAAGTTGGCCAATGAAGATGCCGAATTCGAAACGTTTTTCAAATTTTGCAGCAATGAAATTTTTTTCGCATACAAGCTCATGCTTGAATATTCGTCGATTCCCAAAGATCTGTTATACATAGATGTGCGGCAATCAGACACCGGCCCGTTCATCGATTTAATGGTTGAAGTCACTCTCAAACTATGCGGCATCGCATTCAAAGACATAGCACTTGATAAACGACCCAAAACCCGTGTTATCAAAATTCAACGAGTATTTAACGAAGAGATTGCTGAAATCGAAGAGGATATCATCTATCCCGCATGTGAGTAACACCTATGGCAATTAAACAAAAGAATGACTTTTTTTACTCCATTTTCCCATCTAAAATTTTCTGATTATTTCCAGTGGCTTTGCCAACTCTCAACGATTTGATCATCGAGGAAGATAACCAACAATTTGCCGAGCCGCGTTGGTCTCTGTTGCAATGGTTGTTGGATTTGGACGGCAAAGACATTACATCGATCAAGAAAGCATGTGATTCAAAGTACATCCGAATTGTTCTGATCACGCTGAAATTCTTGCTATCGGTAAGTTCTGAATGTTATCGCTTAAAAAGTTGCAAAATTTTCCTACCAACCAAAAACGTAACGTTCATTTTTTATGAACCCAAATAATAACTGCCATTGACTTGAAATAGCACGCCATCATTTCAACGCATGAAGCTGATATTCTCATGTTGACCGAATCAGATGGCCGCAGTAAAAATAATGTTTATGTGCCAAAAAGCTTTCGGCCGCCACCTCCGATGCCAAACTGGCGCCATCCGGAATACGTCGCTATGTCATGGGTTCAGACCGCTCATAAATACACCATTGCTTTTGACCTGGTTCGCCACTGTCTGGAACTGTGTGGCTTACGTAGAGAAACGGTGAGATTCATCAATTGAATGGTCATTTCATTACAAATTGGTTATGTTTATGTGATGTTTGGCATTTGCATTACAGGATTCCATCCAATTTGACGCTTTTGAATTTCACGCCAACATGCATCAATCGGAAAATGACAACAGACAAATCCAACGGATGATGACTCGAATGAAGAACATTCGCTTGTGGTGAATTTGAGAAAAAAATTCTGGATTTTTATGCAAATTCATACAAACCAAACAAATCGCCAAATGAATACGATTTGCAAAACATCTTTTTTTCGATGGCCTGCATTAGAACCAAAAACATTAACTCAACTTTGAATTGCATTCGACGCTATCGTTAGGATGATGAAATCATTCCAATTTTCATATATATAAACACAATTTTCATTTGAAAATAAATCGTTCATAGGTGTAAAATTCATTCATTTGTCATGTAAAATCAAAATAACATACAAATACATTGAAATACACAACAATTTGATGTAAATTGATGAGAGAAGTCATCATAAATGATACAAATTTGAGGTTATAATACAAACAATATCAATAAAACACAGTGTTGACAGAATCAGTCAATGACAGATTGATTTGCATATCGGCAACTTGCTTTTTCTTAATACCTTCGTGTTGCAGTCGCGCCATTTTAGTATACTGAGAACCATCGATGCAATCATTTTAATTCACACATAGTGAAACTGATGAAGTATTTTGTAATAATTGTCCTAAACTATAATCGAACTGTGACCAATTAGTAAACGTCTTTGTGAATCGTCCAATATTGTCCAATTTTTATACTTTTGAATAAATACTGCCGTTCAGTAGAAAATGGGAATCAAAGGTTTTGAAAAATACATCATATCAAACGTTCACAAGGGGTTCGTCGAACAAATTAACATTCGTGCTGAAATTCGAAAATGGCGAGAGTGAGTATTTTCTTTTTGGATTTTCATTTGCTATGATGAAAACGTATCAATTGATTAAATCTGAAACAACAGTTATAGAGAGCATGGCAGAGACCCAACAATTATCATCGACTTGAAAGAGTTGAACCGAGTGCTCGGTGACCGAGTCAATCGACATCAAACGTTCGAAATGGCTCTGTTCAATGGTGGTCGATACCAAAAGTTTAATGAAATTTTGGAGTACTTTTTTGGCGAGATGAAAATTTCCGGTGCCAATTTGGTATTCATCGCCAGATTGGATGAAGGTAAATACAAAGATATTAAGGCATTTAAATCGTCATCAGCGCGCCCGAACGAACGCATGTTATTCAATATGTTGCATTCGATTTGCTCGAAATTTGGTGAGGTGCATGTTTCTTATGGTTTGAAGAAGTGCGCCATAGTGGCATATGTCCACCAGCATCGAGACAACATCATGGCGTTAATCACTCGTGATACGAATTTTTTGGTGTTCAGCGATGTTTATGAACTTTGGAGCCTAAATGAAGTTGACTTTCGGTATTTGAAAATCGCAAGATTCGATCGCAACCGGATCTATCGCGATCTGAATTTGAATGCTCAACAAATGCACCTGATGTTGGCCATTAATGAACTCCAGCCAAGTACGAAACGTAAACTGGTCGGAGACAGAGATGGAAAATTGCCTGCTTTGGTTAACTACGTGAGACCATTGCAACTTCGACGTAATGGTTATGACATCAATCTGCTCACTGCCAACGCCCATCTGAATGAAGATGAGCGAAATGAGCTAGAAGTTGAAATAGCCCATATGCTGAGCGTTATCAACTACTCCGACAATTTCAATGAAGACATTTACGAGGGACTGATTCTGGACTTGGTGAACAATGACGAATCGTTCAATAGATTGTTGCAATTTTTCAAAGAGAATATTTACTTTGCATACAAATTGATGAACGAAACGTCCACTGTTCAAAAAGATTTGCTACTCATTGATATTTGTCGCCCGGATGCAATGCCATTCATTGACTTGGTAATCAATGTGACGATGCGGATGGGTGGCGTCATTTTCATGGATGTCGAAGAAGATAAACAACCAAAAACTCGATCGGTTAAATTCCAACGGGTTCGTGGTGAACCAGCTGTTCAATCGGAAATGGAAATCATTTATCCACCGAGTAAGTAGCATTTGGAACTGAACGACATTTTTGTCGACCGAAAATGATTTTCTTCTGTTTTTTCCTCTAAAAAATGTATCACTGGCTTTGTTATCAAATCTCTCATTATTTTCGATTCAATTCAAATTTTCACAGTGCAAATGCCAAGTTTGATCGAACTCATTGTGGAAGAGGACTGTAAATCAGTCGATTGGTGTCGTTGGTATCTTCTGCGTTGGTTGCTCGACGTGCCCAAAGCACCAATAACCAAGATAGAAACGTCACAATCTTCAAAATACATGCGAATTGCCACATTGACGCTGGATTTCCTGAAACATGTAAGCCAATTGTTTTTCTTCAAAAAAAAGCGTCAAACACGATATGTGTCGATCGATAAATGTCGATTCTCAAGTGATTTTCAAGATGATTTTCAATGAAATTCTGTTTTCTTTTTCAACAAAATAGCATGGAATAATAAGAGGCCGTGAAGCAAACGCTATTCTGGAAGTCGAATCGAGTGTCCAAAGTGCGACGAATCCACGGACCAGCCGCACGCCACCACCGAAACCGCAGTGGAAATGGGACGATGCAGATGCTTCATGGGTTCAAATAGCACACAAATACACCATCACCTTCGAGCTCATTTGCCACTGTCTCGAAGTTTGCGGCCTACGAAATGAAACGGTAAAATTCACCAAATTACCTTGAATTGCAATGTACTCATGCATGTGGAAAATGCGTTTCTTTCAGGCCCTCATTCAGTTCGATGCATATGAGCTATATGCACGCCGTGCATAGTACGGAAAATGACACAACACCATGGTGAGGCGATTTAAAAACGATCGTGGATCGATTGCAGGACTTATTTTCATTAAATAACCAATTTTCAAGTCGAAAATGTCGCTGCTTAGATTAAGTAATTAAAGATAATGATTAAGACGAAAAGATAAAGAAAACTCAGAAGATTAGAATCTCAAAACATTCATTACATTCAAAGTCCACCCAAATTTGATTTTAGACTATCATAGACAATGATACTTTTAGTAAATTTGGTTAGGTAATATGACTAATATTACTTTCAAGAAACAAAACTTGTTTTTGCTCAAGAGAGAAAAAAAAAACAAAGATCCAATGTAAACAATGTAATGATTTAATGCAAACAAACAGTGTTTGTTAGCTCTGTCATTTTTAGGTTTTTGTGTCACATACAGAAAATATTGACCACAGCAGAATTATTTTTCTTATAATAACATTGCTTCTGGAGGCTCAAGTAAACATGCATAGATATAGACAGACACCCACTAGTACACACATAATATTCATTCCAGTTGGAAATCTGTAATTTATAACATTGATCGATTAATTCTATTTTGAAAAATCCTAACCGAAAAATCATATTCTTTCTATGCGATATTTTGTTGCTATTGTGCTGCCACCAATGGGGTTTATTTGTAACAAATCATTCGTCATTTAGTCACACCAACCTACTGCAACACTTTCAAACATTGGCCGTGCTGTTGTTGATCGCACTGAGTCACGATTCTGCGATTTAGTCGCACATACACACATAAACATATCCCAGATTGTGAGTCTTACTCAACATCTTCGTTCTTTTCTCAACGGGACTCTTACACGAATCGACGTGCTCTTTTAAACTGACTATTTCGCAATAACAGATTTTGAATAAACTTTGCAACAAAGAATATATATTTTCTTGAAACTGATTATCTTTCATTTGTTTTGTACCAATCGTGAATCGTATGATAAATATTCATTTTTATGTCCAATTAAAATAAGTGCAAATAAAATGGGGAACATTCATTGTTTGGAAAAGTTTTGCATTTCAAACAACGCAATTGCTGAAGAGATTGATATTCGTGACGAAATCGCAAAATGGCTACGGTAAGTAATTCTTATGTTGATTTTTGGATTTTTCTTTTTTTGAAATACTAAAGCCTTAAAAATATGACCACAGTGAACATGGTGAAAATCCAACGATTATAATCGATGTGAAAGAGTTGAATCGAGTGCTTTCGAATCAACAATTGCTTCACTCATTTGCCAGTGTCTTGAATCTGGGCGGCCAATTCTGGAAATTCAATGAAATATTGGAATATTTCTTTGGTGAGATGAAAAAGGCCGGCGCAAATTTGGTGTTCATTGCACGATTGAAAGAAAGCCAATTCCAAGATATCAACAAATGCGAATCATTACATTTGAATCCAAGCGAACGCTTACTCTACAACTTGATGCAAATCTGCTCGAAATATGGTCAATTGTCGGTGAATTATGGCCTGGGTAAGAGTCAATTATCAAGTAGTCTTTATCAAATTCAATATGTTTTCATTACCGCTCATCTGTTCTTTCGTGGTTTTCCTTTCAGGTGAGAGTTCAATTTTGGCTTATGCAAGACACGCAACGCACAATTTTTGGTGTATGACATTGATTTCTCATATTGGTGCCTCGCCAATGTCAACTTCTACGATCTCAAAATTCTGGACATCTCGCCGAAACAGATGCTACGAACCATCGCATTGAACTCAAAACAAATGCAACTCGTATTCGTACTATCCGAGCTCAAAACGAATATTAAGTTGAATCTGGTTGGAAAACAATGCCATAAACAAAGCCGTATAGTGGAATTTGTGAAGTCATTGAAATATGGTGAAAATGGATTCGATCTAGATCAATTGGCACATAAGTTGAACAAAAGAGAACGTGATGATCTGGAAGATAAGCTGAACCGTGTATTTGCCGTAAACGAATACGCTGGCAATTGGAATGAAGACATTTACGAGGGACTAATTTTGGATTTGGCAAACAATGATGAATCGTTCAATTTGGTGTTGCAATTCTGCAAAGAAAACATTTATTTTGCATACAAGTTGATCAATGAAAAAGATTCGACGCAAAAAGATCTGCTGTGCATCGAAGAGCGACGAGAAGAGGACGCGATTTTTCGTAGCCTAATGGTAACCATAATGCTGAAAATGTGTGGAATCCTATTCAAAGATGTTGATCCAAAGAAACGTCCAACAATTCGCACCAATCGGAATTTTGGTGACATTTATGTCACATCTGCAAATGATATCATTTATCCAACAAGTGAGAATTTTCCATCGCATTCAAACGTTCATATAGAAAATTGCTGGTTTTTATTTGATTTTCCTTATTATTTTCCATCTATTTGTTGCAGTGCCATTGCCAAGTCTCAAAGAACTGTTGGTTGAAGAAGATAACATGCGGTTCGACAATTCACGCTGGTCTCTTTTCAAGTGGCTGATTGGCTTGAACGAAGAATCAATTTCGGACATCAGATCTTCGAATGACTCCAAGTTCATTCGCATTGTTTCATTGACGCTGACATTTTTGCAATTGGTAAGATGAACATATTCCATTCTGTTATCACAATCGCAATAACAGCAATTTAAATGTGTTTCTATCGACTTTACAGCATAAGATCATCTCGGCTCATGAAGCGAATACCATTCAACAAATGGAAATGGAACGAAACATTAAAACTGAACTTGATCTACCAAGAGGAACATCGCCACCTTCAAAGCTGAATCAACGTATCCCTAACATTAACGGTGCATGGGTTCAAACGGCACACAAATACACAATTGCCTACGAGATGATTTGCCATTGTCTTGAAGTGTCCGGCTTAAGAAAAGAAACGGTAAGATTTGAATAAATATTAACATTGCGCAGTTAAAAAGAAGCATATTTTCCAGGCACCGATTTTGTTTGATTCACCCGAATTCAATGCACGCATGCAACGAATGGAAAGTGACTCGAAACCGCACAAGATGCTAAAGATGGAAAACTTCTGACTATGATGGCCGTGGCATATCAATTACTTTGTTCAACAAACATTTAATCTTTAAGCTAAATATTTTTACACAATATCTCGATAAAAAAAGGCAAAAAAGACATTATTTCTCTTCATTTTATAGAATTGAGTAGATTACGAGTTGATGTTTTTTATATTACAATCTTTATTTTGACTTGATTTTGTGTTAACAAGTTCATGTAAGAATAATGAATAACATTTTTACACTTAAAATGTACTACGTGTGAATGCGATCATATTGAGAAAATTCAAATAAAGCGCCATTCCGATCAAATCATATCAATGTCATTCCTTTACCTTCAGTGTCACATTGAAACCAATACAGAGACATTCCATAAGGTAGTAAAAAAGACAATGTTTGTATTCAAGCGATGTTTTTCGGTTGCTTTGCATAACACTAGTTGCACACATTTGCCACACACACTGCGATATATTCTGTTGCTCTTGTGCTGCCACCACCGTATCAATTTGTGACAAATCAATCGTCACTCAGTCACATCAAGCTACTGCCACACTTTCAAACATTGGCTGTGCTGTTGTCAATCATTCTGATTTACTGCGACGTAATTACACATACACACACAAACCTTTTTCACACTGTGAGTCCTACTTAACGTCTTCGATCTTTTCTCAACGAGACTATCACACAAATGGGCGTGCTCAACCGATTATTTTCCAATAACAAAGGCTAAATATAAATTTTCTTCAAATAATCAGCTTTTCAGCCAATCGTATCGTAAAAGTCTACGTTTACACAGAAAAAATGGGAATTTCGGGCTTGGAAAAGTTTTGCATTTCAAACAAAGCCATCGCTCAAAAGATTGATATTCGTGACGAGATTGCAAAATGGCGACGGTGAGTTATTCAAAACAAATTGTTGAGCATTTTCCCAATATTAATGTTCAAAAACAATATCACAGTGAACATGGCGACGATCCAACGATTATAATTGATGTGAAAGAGTTGGTTAGAGTTCTTGGAGATAGATGTTCCGATCATTCATTTGCACGGGGATTACGTCTTGGCGGCCAATTCCGGAAATTCAATGAAATTTTGGAATACTTCTTCGACGAGATGAAAAAGGCCGGCGCAAATTTGTTGTTCGTCGCACGATTGAATGAGGGTCGATACAGAGATTTTCCCAACCGATGGGAATCATCGACTTTGTATCCCAACGAGCGCTTGCTGTACAACTTGATGCAAGTCTGCTCGAAATACGGTCAGGTGTCGGTGTATTATCGGCTGGGTAAGCGTTCGATTTTGTCATATGCACGAGAACATCGCAACAACGTCATGGCATTGATTACACGTAACGCACCATTTTTGGTCTATGACATTGATTTTTCGTTGTGGTGCCTCTGCAACGTTGATTTCTTCGAACTGAAAATTGTGAAAATCTGCCCCAAACAAATGTTGCAAGCCATTGCATTGAACTCAAAGCAAATGCAACTCGTTCGGGCCATTTGCAAGCTTGATAAGAGCGTAAAGTTTCGACTTCTGGGAAAACAATGTAGCAAACTGGCTTTTTTGGTGGAGCGCGTGAAACTTTTGGAATTTGGTGAAAATGGATTTGATTTGAATGGATTTCCTGGATCCAAAGATTTGACCGAAGAACAACGCGATGAGTTCGAAGAAAAACTGAATCGTGTATTTGCTGTAAACGACTACGCTGCCGATTGGAATGACGACATTTACGACGGATTGATTTTGGATTTGGTGAACAATGACGAATCGTTCAATTTGGTGTTACAATTCTGCAAGGCGAATCTTTACTTTGCATACAAATCAATGAACGAAAAGCTCACCATTCAAAAAGACCTTTTATTCATTGACATTCGTCGACCAGGTGCATTGCCGTTCATCGACTTGGTGATAAGCGTGACAATGAAGCTGTGCGGAATCATTTTCAAGGACGTTGAGCCAGACAAACAGCCGAAGACACGAACCGTGAAACTGAAGCGAATTTTCGGGGAAGAAGCCGTTGAATACGAAGTGGATATCGAGTATCCAACGAGTAAGTATTTGTCTTGTCGTTGGGTTTTGTGATAAAAAAAATTTACATATAAAGATAGAACATTTGAAAATTCTTTGTTTCCATCATTTTAATTGATTGGAATTCATTCACAGTGGCATTGCCGAGCCTCAAAGAATTGCTCATTGAAGAGGAAGACAAATCGTTTGATCTGTCCCGTTTATCACTCTTGATGTGGCTGTTGGATTTAAGCGAAGAGACGATGTCGAAGATCAATAGCTCAAAGAAGCAAATGCGAATCGTTCTGTTGACATTGAACCTGTTGCTAACAGTGAGTTGTCTGTTTTCATAGAATGATTCGAATCGTTTCGTGATTAGAACTATTTTCCTCAAATTGTCCCACTAACTCAAGTTTGTTTTTGGAAATAGCATCGAATCATCACCACCCATGAAGCCGATATTCTTCTATTGACGGAATTTGATGGTCACAGCAAAGGAAATGTTTACGTTCCGAAAAGCTTCCGGCCACCACCATCGAAGCCAAACTGGCGTGATTCGGGTCACGTCGATATTTCATGGATTCAAACGGTACACAAGTATACGATTACCTACGAGCTTGTGTGTCATTGCCTTGAATTGTGCGGGCTACGTAAGAAAACGGTATGATTGCAGGATGGACATCCATCCTAAGTTTAAATCACTTGTTTGAAAATGCTTTCCAATTCGAACGCCATTGATTTGAAAATGTTTTTCTACAGGATCTCATCGAGATGGACGCGGGCAAATTCCATGACAATATGAACCAAGTCAAAGATGGAAACAATAACGAACAATTCGAACGTATGATGGCATCAATCAAGGACATTCGCTTATGGTGAATAAAATTCACTCAAATGTTCTTCGCATGTTGTACTCCAGCCGAACCATTTTTATACAAAAACTCATTCAATTTTTCCGCATTACTGATTATTATGTTATGACACATACAAAATATATGTGTAGAATTTTATAACACAAAATATAAATGCTGAGCAAGACGATTTTCAATAAAGAATAAATAATAGTTCGCATGTGAACACTAAATGAGGTCGTTGTTTAAATGATTAACCATTAAATGGATTTGTTTATCTAGGTCTGTAGTATGCATTGAAGCATATGCATGCCTAGAAAGCTCAACCAAACAGCAAATTATGATGTCATCTAAGTCTTTCGTTTTGAAATTGAATAAAATTTCGATTCAATTTCTTTGCTCCGAGATCAGCTGTGCTAAAACACTCTTGTCCAATGTATCAAGACCAGATCACGAATTTCTATTTATTGCTATTTCGTAGAATGTATCGCGTGCCTCAATTCTGATCAGATATTTTGAATGTAATTTAAAAGTTGCACATGTTCAGATTTTTATCATAAAATAATTCAACAAGAAGTTGGGAAAGGACAGTGGTTGCAATTTGAATGCAATATTTTTTGGAATCTTTATTGACTAATTGTTATGAGTATAAGAAGAGTTATTGTAATTTGGGTTAATGTAGTGAAATAGATCGCTTAAGAGTTAAGTTTCAAATGAAAAACTAAATTGCTTTCAATTCTAGGGGCGAGACACGAATTCTATTAGAGTCTAGTTACATTCAATTTCATATATTTTTTGCTTGATGTCCTCTAATTTTTCTAGTTTTGGTGCAAAAGTGTTAATATTGTGCTATTATTTCTAGTAAAATCGCTTGCAGAGCGTATTACACTGTGAATACAACGCTTATGGAAGACCTAACGGGACTATTTTATAAACAATAAACAATACGTCCATAAGCGTTAACATTGGCAAACCAAACTCACTAATTTCTCCTATTTTTCCTATTATCGTTGAATAATGTTCTAATTTTACTCATTTAAGTTTCGTGTCTCCCCCCTAGTTTCAATTGCATTCAATATGTCGCCGTTTTCTCTCTGACTGAAGAGGATGTTCCAATTTGGGTCTTTTCGGATTGCGTGGACACTCGAAGTAAGTACAGATAAAATTCTAGAAAAATGTCAAACAGGATGAGAAACAGTTAGAATCATTATCATCTAGCTCGGTGGATGTTTTGAAAAAAAAAAATCAAAACAAAACCATACATACAATGTCACTTTGTGTTCCAGTTATTTTGATGAAAATCGCCGGGCGTGGTGCAAAGTCAAAGTCTTGCCATCCGGTCAGGTATTCATTTCTTTTATCAACGGCCATTGTCCAAGTCTCTTTGTCCATAGATGTCTCGATCAAGAACAAATACTTGTTTGAATGATTCATGCTGTTTCCAAGCAGCATTCGCAACGAACCAATGTAGTAGGGCTGGTTGAATTGTAATAAAATGTATCGATCTTTCTCGTGGCATGTGAATTCATCGGGATTCAAGTTCAATATGTTGACTCCGCCAACTCCTTCTACATTAGCACCATGTTCAACTTTAGCAACGTTTGCCGTTGGTTTTATAACGCCATCTACCAATTCTGGGAAGTTATTTGTTTTATGGATTGCTTGCAATCCAACAACTTCAAACGAATAATAGCCATGATATGATGCACGTCCATTTCCTCCACTTTCATACCCGAATCGAACCAAATGAGTAGCTCGTGTTCCGATCAATTTAATGAATCGAATTGGGCGTGATTGAAAATATAAATATTGCCAAGATCTATAATTGTGGTTGCTGTGATCAAACAATCGTATGTACTCTTTTCCATCAGCGGATACGTCAACGTAATATGAATACGAACCATCGCCCAATAATAACATTTTTATATAATTTATGAATGTAACTTTTCCGAGGTCTACAGTTATAGAATTACTTATTGGTTTGGATAAGCCGAAATCATGATATATCTGGCTGTCAGTTATTGCATGATATGTGGAACCTAAATAATCAAAAAAAGAAAAATCGGGTATTTGAATACCTTTGTGTTAAACATGCGAATAATAAAATCTACTTATATTACCTGAACCAAAATTTAAATTGCCTGTAAATATACCGTTTAAAATTGCCGATGGATTCTCACCGGAAACAATTTTTGCGCCGTGTTCGGCAGTTGCAATATTTTCTTCGACATCTTTTTGCGTGTCTTTAAAAGTAAACAAAAATAAATTACGCTCAAGTTTAAAACACACACTATAAAAAACTATGATTTAAAACTATTGACAGATGCCAATGCTGATATAGGTTAATAGGCATATTTCAATAAATCAAATCGAATCGTTAATCAATTGCTATTGATATTTCCACCATTTTACTGATAAATGTTAATTAGCAGGCAAATAATTAACATTTCTAATAATTTTAAAGTTTTTGTAGTACAATAACAAATATTCTTACTTAGACTATGGTATTGGGTACGGCCTGCTGTGCCACTTGATGCCCGATTATCTTTCATCACATGCCAAAGTTGAGCTGGATCCAAAATATTGCTTGGCTCAACAATATTCATATAATCATCCATGCTCAGTTCTGACCAGCGAACTGTTGAAAGCGCTTGCTAGATTTTCACAAGAAAGTAATTTAACTATTTTCATAATATCGATCAATCAATATGAGCATACTTTGACGTCAGCATCTGAGTTGTGTGCTAACCAATTGCACACCGCTTTGAAAATATCGATCTCGAGTGCGTAGAATGAATCGCGTTTCAGCAAAGTGCACAAGGAAGTGAGTGATAACGCCAGGAAACTGTCGCAGCCAAGCAATTCCATGGAATGACTATCCATGAACTTCATGCACGCTGTTTGTAAATCTTTGATGGAATATAAATGCGCTGCATTGAGTATCGATCCGCAATTGTCCAATGTCAGATTGGCCGTCAAGTAATCCAAAATGATCTTCTTCATCGATGCACTGAAGTCATATTGCTCAGCCAGATCATAAACTTCGATAATTTGATGGCTCTCTAAGGCGGCCAGCGATAGACAACCGGTGTACATGTATTTCAAGATCGCTTTGAAGGCGTTCACCGGAACTTCCAATTCGACTTCTGCTTGGGCTGACTCAGCGAATGCACCACCAAACAATGAACGAAAATATGAACTTCGGAGCGACAAGATCGTCTTGTGCGCCGGGATCTTCTCGTTTTCGACAACGAAGGTCACATCTGCATGTTCATCGTTCATGCAAATATCACTTAAGAGTTGCAAAATTTCATCTGTTTGCCGTAAAAATGGAGAATGAACAGAAAATCTCGGAATAGAAATTAGTTTCAACGAGAAATTTTGGTTTTCGAATTTTCCATTTCAATTAATATTTACCCGATTGATCGATTTCACCATTACTGTGAGTAT